GGGCCCAGGATGGGCCGGGCTTTTGGAAAATCCCTTGCCCCATGGCTGTGGGGAGGCGGGCAAACGCATTGGATCGCTCTGCGCCATCGAGGTCGAGGGGTTAAGCGCCGCCCACCCACGGAGGTGGGCGGACTGAGCCTCGAGTTCAGGGTTTCGGTTTGGGGTTGAGGGTTTGGGGTTTAGGGTTCTAGTCCAGGTTCTATACTACAGGACCCGAGGATGCGGGAAATTCGGCACTCTACGTCCCGAAAGAGCCGAACCTGAGGTTGTCTCCTCTTCGCTGCAAGTTTTGAGGTGGAAGGCTTAAGATTTGGGGTTTAGGGCTTCGGGCTTTAAGGTTCAAGGAGCTTCGCGATGCCAGGATACGGAAAGACACAACCAGACACAGATCACTAGTCAGCCACCTTGCCCCAAGCAGATGGCCCGGCCCTGTTTCGGGAGCATACAGTGGACATTTAAGAAATAGGCGGCTGCACGACCCTCCGCCTCAGACCAGATTCGTCCCCGAACCTCAGCCACGGCAGTGCCGCGGCCGCTCTAGAGTCGGCAGCGGCCCTTACAACCGAGCCGTGCAAAACAAGAAGCACAACGCTACTGTAAAGGCCCCAAGCTTCTACGCCCTACCCATAGGCCCCTAAGTATTTCCTTTTTATGGTTTATACTTAGAATCCCATAAGGTAATCCCAAAAAGGAACTACTTAGGGGCCTATGGGTAAAGTGTTTCAAGGGGTAAAGTGTTTCAAGGGCCCTAAAACTAACCAGCCAGCCCTGGTCCCCTCAGGCCGAGCGACGCTACTCCGCGGCGGGCCGTCGTCAATCCATGGGCTTCGGCTACTTCGGCTTGCAGGACCGGAGCTCGCTCCAGTAGGGTTTAGGGTTTAGGGTTTATAGGGTTTATAGGGTTGAGGGTTTACAGGGTTTATAGGGTTTAGGGTTTAGGGTCATGTTGCGGCTATGGGGGCTTTAGGAAGCTTAGGACCTGGGGGTTCAGGGTTACTGGCCTTCGCGGGTCTGGGGTGTGGCGCAGTATACTCCCGAAGAGCATCATGATCGTATAATACGAGAGGCAAGAGTACTAAATTGACAAGGGCATTCATGGTAGCAGTTCCATGTCGAATAGGGGCAAGAAAACTACGAGTTGTGATTGTAGCAGCAGTAATAGTAAACCGCAGAAGCCATTTTGTCGCGTTGATGTGTCACATCGTTGAAGAAGCTCAACATATGATAGACGCAACATGTACGAGTAAATCGGCTTTGCTGGTATTCGTTCGCTGCATTTTTGTTTCCGTGCCGGGGCCCGGGTCTGGGCTTAAACTGTGAGCCAATGCTGCCAGGACATCATGAGCCCAAGCGATGCGATGAAAGCCTTCGACATGGTGGAGTCCACGCTTCAGGACTGCTTTAGACCCACATGCTCGCGCTACATGCTTGTCAGGAATTTCGAGATTTCGAAGTAGAAGTTAGGAAGTTGGGACAGGTCCAGCAGTCTTTCTGATGCCCGAATTTTGGCCGCTACGCAGTCAGAGATGCAGTAGGCGAAGGGCGTCCCTTTGCAGATCATTCGAAAGCTTGCCTGAAGCCTTCTGTCTGAGAAGCCGAAAGGCCACGGAGCGACTGCGGACGTTACACAGCGAACACGCAACTAATCTTCAGCACAAACCTCGCAACCCGAAAGATTCTTAGCACCGTGGGGCTGATTCACTTGTTTTGTTGCTTGCCGGCTCCCAGCAGAAGTACAAGAGACAGTATGTCGCATGCATAGTTCCGCAGCCTGAGGCAAACCTGCCCCAGATGCCCTCTTGTTGTGCAGGAGCTTAAGAAGAGCTTCCGGACGGACGATGTTGGCGAGGTCGGTTGACATGCTCTGAATGCGAACCCTGTCCAAGCTCATAGCCTCGCAGCAAAAGGAGCGTGCTGACGACAGCGAAGAGAAGCGCGCCGAGGCGGGGGACAGGTTTTGGCCGTCAATGTTGAGAACTCTTCTAGCAGTCGTCGTTGTGATAGTGGTCCTCGTGGTCCCCTGCGTGATCCTCAGGAACGCCGGAAGCGCGAGCAAGAGGCCAAGAAAGCTCGTGAGAAAGCCCAGAACACGAAGGATCCCAGGCCAGGGTTGCGAGCTGCTGCTAGCTATCACTTTCAAAGTTCAGGCATGGGTGGCGTTGCTTATAAGAAGGATCGGGCTATGCCAGCTGTGCACTGCAGGGTCCAGAACCGCTATCTATGATACAGGTGTCCCTTAGTTTGCAATTGCCTTTGTGATCCGGCACCTCTGCAGGCGGCGGGTCGCAGTGATGTTGGAACAAGGTCGCGAGTGGGGACAGGCACGGAGGGCCTCGATGCGCATGTAACGTAGCAAGAAGCTCCAAACCTGCAAAGCCCAAATACACAGACTTTAAAATCTAGAGAACACCACAAACCGACAAATCCCTACACCCGAAGCTGCTCCAAGCTCTACTCTCCTGTCCCGACATCCCTCAAAACCCGAGACCGAAGCCCTGCCAAGTCTTCGCACTCTTGAGGCCAGGCCCGATCAGGCCCGGGACCGAAAGGTCAACGTGCCCATGCAGGCCGAGGGGCAGCAGCCCAGGGCCTTTCCGGGTTCGTTTCTGTTCAGAGACTTCGGGGATTTGGGAGGATCTATGTGCAGGGTCTTATACAGGGGGGTGGGGGGGTAGACATGGGCCTATAGACGGTTTCTCGAAGGGTGTATGTGAGGCTTACATGCGATTTCGGGTGATCAAGTGAGAGTTGTCAGAGTCCTATCGCATGTCGTGGCTGCAGTTATAAGTTGGACTATCAGCATTTGTTGGTTACCGCTGCCAGTTTCTTTGCAGACAAAAGTCTTGTTTTAAACGTGTCAGGGCCCGGCTTTGGAAGTTGCACGCGACGACACCGTTCCTTGCTTCATGGCCCCTTGAGTCTAGCAGAAGGGATGCCAAGACTCTGGTCCCCGAAGCCCGATGGTACCCACTGTAGATTACAGACGTTGTCGCTCCCATCCTACTCAAAGCTTTGGAATGAAACCCTTTCGGTGCGTAGGTTTGAGGCCCGCACGGCCGGACGTTTGCGTGAAAAGAGGTAGGGACAAGCGGAGGCCAGGTAGGTCTGGGCATCTGGCCGAGCGTCTCGAAGTCCTTCATCCTGACTACATCTCGGTTCCATAACCGCCTTCCGTCCCCGGAAGCTACATGTAGCGGCCCAGGTTCTGGAGGAAAGCCAACAAAACTGAGCCTAAACTCTGAGCCCTGACTCCAAAACCCCCGAAACCCTGAAACTAGAAGCTGAAAGCACCTTCACGGAATGAGCATTGCAACATGAGCGTCGACGGAACGAAGCCTGAACTCTATGTAAAAGCCTTCATCGATGTACCCCGACTCCTCCTTGAACCCTTGCAGCGCCTGAAGACTCTTAGTTAGAACGGATATGTAGTTGAAGCCTCCTAGAACCCCTACGGGAACCCTTATACAAGCTTATGAAATCCAGCTCTAACCCTAACCCCCCAGGTACCTACTATATAGGGTACTAGAGCCCCTAGGGCCCTGTATAGCAGTACCTGGGGGGGTTAGGGTAACAAACCCCCTAAGCCCGCCTGTCAGCAACACTTAGCGCTCCACGCCGGCGGCGCCGAGCGCATTGAGATGGTGCCTGGGCTATTCTGGCAAGCATTTCGAAAAGTCTGAAGGTTCAGCACCGTAGAGTCAGAAGGAGGACTAGAGATTCTGCTCAGCTAACTCAATCGACTCTTAAGAAGGAAATAAAGACTGCAAGTTTCAAGGGGCCTCCAAGAACAGCCCAGGTGCATGTCTGTGCGCTGCAGGCCTCGCGGGAAAACCTAGTCCCGTCTGTTCGCAGCACTGATTGAATGCTTTTGCCACGAACTATCGTACTTGTATTGAAAATCCCAAGAATGATGATGACAGTAGTTGTAATGATAACGAGGTTGGTTTTGGTGTCGGCTACCGGGTTGCCTGCATGTCCAGCTCAAGCTCGAGATTCGGCACGTCGCAAGGTCTTCCGTATCGGTACGTACAGTGTCTTGACTCTTTCGCTTTTTTGGGGGCTTTTAGGGGTTTTGCTTTTCGGGTTTGTGCGTGGAGTCGTGGGTTTGAGCAGGGCTTGGGGGGTGAAGTCTCGGGATCAGGGTTCTACCAGTTTAACAGATTGCGATTGGGTTTAGGATTGGGGTCGTCTTGGGGTGACAGTTTAGAAGCTGTCTCCTTCTGTTGGCTTTCCTGGTTGGTGAACTGGCTGCTGCCCTGCAAACCTGCATTCACCGAACATCATATTGTTCCTGTAACTGTCGCAAGAGCCACGAGCCAGCAGGAATATCCAGCCCAAGTGCGTTCTAGAAAGCCAGAACAAACACCAGAAGCTACGAACATGGCAGTATTTGGGATGATTCACATGTCCGTCATAAAAACGAGCAAAAGGAATATACACGAAACCATCCCATAAAACTTTGTCTTCGATACAAAAACTGCAAACACACGATGTTTCTGCAAAATCTTACAAAAACAATCGACACACCCCTCGCGGGGCAAACGCTCCAGCTTCCTTGTTCTTGTGATTTGTGTTCCTGTTCCGTAGTTGTTAATGTCGTCCTCGTCGCCGGCGTGCATGTTCGCGTCGTCTTGGTTTTGTTTTTTCAATACTGTCGTTGCAGTACTATCAGACTAATGTTGCAGTAGTTGTTGTTGTTGATGTTGTTGCCGGTTTGGTCATGTTTCCTGCTTAAGCGTCGTAGCAGCCATGCTGTCTTCTTTGGAGATAACGATGGCAATGCCATGATCGTGATGATGTGGCGACTTCGGTTGCCGGCATGTGGCAACAATTTCGATGCTGCTCCATCGCTTCGCTGGCCAGGGCCGCTGCAAGGGGCTCAGCAGCGGCAGCTGCAACTACAAGGAGGCTGGGCACCGTGCCCGTGTAAGTCGGGAGCATAGCGAGGGTGCTGAGATAAGGGGTGCTCAGCCCGATGCTCTGGCTTACCGAGTCCCTAGAGACTTAATTACCACAATAATAGCATAGGCAAGCCATCAACTGGCTCAACTGACAACAGTCGGCACATAAGCATGCAAACCACCGGCCCGACCTTAAATTCAACGCCAAAGGACCTAAAGCATTCTGGCAAGAAGGCATTGGGGCTCGAGATGTGTGCAGCGCTGAAGCAGATCGCAACAAGCCGATACCACCGTGGTGGTATGGCCAGAAACAACACGAAATATCCAGTAGGCAAGAAGCCAGCTCCAGAGATCAACAACAGACGTGGGGGGAGTGGGGGGGGGTTCAAGTCATTACATACACACAATTTGGTCCCGTTCGTTGCCGTGGCAAAAGGAGACGTTGCTAGTATGTAATTTCGATGTCTACATCCCAAGAACCTGAAACTTTTACCCTCCCCTTCACAACCCACAGCCGCCCTCGATCATTTTTCAGCCCCTGAGCATCGACCCCGAATACTAACGAGCCAAGCAATGCGTAAGCATCCCTTTGGCTGCGCACCCATTACAGAGAGTGAAGTTAGTGGATTGCCCATCTCGGACAACTTCGATTCGGAAGTACAATAGCTTTGGGGGGGGGGGGGTCGAAGAAGCGGTGGATCAGGTTGATCCTGAGGGCTGGTAAGCCGAGAGAACACTGCTGCAGGTTCGCAACCTTGTGGAGGAGGAGGTGCGAAGATGACGTGGATGACCTGTGTATCTGTGTATCTGGAGCTTAGAAATTTGATGCGAGCACTATCGTGGAGACAGCCGGTGCGGTAGATGCTCGGTGCGGTCGCCTGTGGCAGGAGCGACAGGCTAAATGGTTGCAATCAACGGCGCCGGCAGAGCCCAAGGACTTCATCAAAGACAACAAGGTGCCTAAGTGCGACCACTAAAACTCTGCTTGACACTTGTCGTGCTACCCACAATTGGTGTTACGACCATGCCTGCAATGTCTCTCTTCCTCAGGCTCTCAGCAGCTGCTACTCGACCGGTGAGTACAGCTGGCGCCTGAGTCCTGTGCGGTGCTACCGTTAAATATTCCCAGGTGCCCTCTGTGCTCTTCTGAGAGAATTGCACAAAAACAGTGACCCAAAAATCCTAAACCCTAAACTCCCTAAACCCTTCTACAGGCCCAAGAAATTGTCAACCGTAGGTTTTTGGTCGTGAGGTCAGGATGCCGCAGAGGCATTGGAGGCCTGGCTGGGTGTGTAAGAAGCCCTGCTTGGGCCCTGGGGGAGGTCCGTGAAGTTAGGTTTAGGGTTTAGGGCTTTGGGTTTTGGGTTTAGGGTTTAGGGGTCAGTTTAGGGCTTTAGTGTTCATGGTTTCTCTAGACCCATTCGGTTCCATGAGCCTGATTGTTAGTCTTGTTGTAGAGGAGACGAAGGGTGCGTGCCCTGCAACGCAACCTAGGGTTGATCTAGGACCGGGCAGGCTTGGCGTCTTTGATCATCATGCACTTGCCGCCGGCAAACTTCAAGATCATCGAGACACACTAAACCCTTAACCCTAAACCCTACCCGCGTAAGTTAGTAATGGTATAAAGATGGCGCTCAGGTCTCCAACTGGATTTTTTGACGGCGTCTTCAAACTAGGGTGGCTTAGATAGGGCGACTCATACTCAGGGTCCTCTTTCATTTTGGTGGTGTACGGACAAAACCGAAAACACCCTTGTCTGCCGGGGAGTCGTTGTCTAAACCCTGACCCCTGGATGAAGAGAGGCAAAGTTGGCCTTGGCGAAGAAGCGAAAAGCCCGTGCCCACGAGGCACACGAAATGTGGACGTCACGGGAGGGCCGAAGCTTCAGTGTAGCAGCAAGGGCGAAGTCATCGAAGTCACAATGGCATATTTTCTTGGCAAATCATCACTTTATCACGCGGGACCTCTACCCTACGCCCAAAACCCTAGAGCGCTCCGTCTCGGCAGGCGAAGCTCCAACGGAAGCTCGAGATGCTTATCAAGCGGCTGCTGCCTCGGTGTGCTGGCCTGGATCACATACGTACTACTCATACGTACATACATGTGTAGGTATGCAACTATATGTATGGATGGATGCATGGACGTATGTTTCTCTGTCTGCTTGTATGTACACACAGACTGCTAGGCAGACATACACATAATATACAGACATGCAAAAATGCGACAAGCATACATACATACTTTCGTACGTGCGTACTTACATACTTGCATACATGTATTACCACAGCCTTGTTTTGTTCCTCTAGGCAAGGCAACCCTAATTGAGTGCGAGAGTCGAGTTGCTTTTCGAGAGTCGTTTCGCCTGGAGCGAGGCGGTCCCCATCCGTGATGGCAGGTCCCGTCCCGAGCTTCTAAGTCGACTGGTTCTTCTTTCTTGATGCCATAAACCTAGACCCAAACCCTGAGCTTTTCAAGGAGTAATCATAATTTCCTGTCATATTCCCTCTGCGATTAACAAGGCGGCTATACTGGAATCTAACAAAGCCGGTTTGTCCCCCGGCAGACCATGGAAACAGATTCCGGAACATGAAAACTCATACCAAGACCCTCTCAGAGCAGCGCAGGTCTTTCGGAAACAAGCTAGATGCTGGTCTAAAACCAGATTTCGAAGCCCCACAGCCTGCGCACCTTTTCGACCCCTGAAATTTCTGAAAGGCAGCTTAAGGGCATCTGGATGGTTGTGCCGGGGGAACCCAAGAAACATATGCAAGAACATAACCCTGCTTCATAGCAGCAGTCATAGTCATAGTGATACGACTTGTGACTTGTGATTGTGACAGCTGTGACAACAATCCGGAAACTCCTGGTACTAGTACTGGTCATCATCAGAGCACGTCATGTCAAGAAGCCCCTGACAGACATGTGGCACAGGATCGAGTCGCCGAGCCTCAGGACAGAAGGCGCCGCCGAAGCTGTCAGCTAGAGTGCCCTTCAAGGGGATGCAACCATGGAAATACATGTACAGCACTCCAGCGTAGATCTCCGAATCGTGATAGAGCGCCACGACGACCAGACCACCACGACGACCAGGAAGACCACGACCACCAGGAGACCACGAGGAGACCACACTTATTGGACACCACCAGGACCAGCATCCCAAAATCTGTCGCCCCATCTGCAAGGAATGCTTCCCTGCCTTGTCTGGTGAGTTTCGAGAGTTTTCAGGGCACGAGGACCAAACGTTCCTCCCCATACTGGCAGGATGACTCCCTGACGACAATGCTTCCCCACCTTGTCTGTACTGGTAGGATTCAGAGAACTGGCATGACGTAGCCAATGCCTCCATCCCATGCACTGGCAGGATTCCAGATACCTCGATGCTAAAATGGGGCCGACGTATACTCGCCTGACGACATTTAATTTTCCACGGGTTGCCTCGCAGACACACTAGACAGTTCTCCGTACACTGAACCCCACAAATAGTGTGTGCCACACTGTGTGCGGAATATGCAGATTCATATGAATATGCATTTGCATGCGCATATTGAAGTGTTTGCAGTGCGATGCAATGGAACGGAATGGCATGCAATGTAACAGTTAGTGCAATGGATTACATGGCCATGTGCCGCAAGGAACTGCAATGTTTCGTAGTAGAATCTGTTGTATTGTAGCAGTGTGACGCACCGTATTGGTAATGGCAATAGTAATCGTAGTGGCTGTTGTAAAGGTAGTCACAATGGTAATCGTGATGAAATGGACGTATTTGCGCATGTACGTGCGTAGGTGTGCGAATATGGACGTCTGTAAGTATGTACGTAGGTCAGTGGGCAGGCATTCATGTAGGTGGGTAGGTCAGTGTGAATGTATGTATGGATGTATGTACGTATGTACGTATGTAGGTATGCACGTATGTACTTATGTGCGTATGTACGTATGTATGTGTGTATG